ACGTTGTGAATATGTCTGTAAAGATGAGGACAACAGTCCAAACAATATAAATAGTGCAAATATTTACAATACCTCATCTCGGAAATATAGAGAGATCACGAAGAAGGCCGAGGTGTACTACGGCCGAAACGTTGTGAATATGTCTGTAAAGATGAGGACAACAGTCCGAACAATATAAATAGTGCAAATATTTACAATACCTCATCTCGGAAATATAGAGAGATCACGAGGAAGGCCGAGGTGTACTACGGCCGAAACGTTGTGAATATGTCTGTAAAGATGAGGACAGCAGTCCGAACAATATAAATGGTGTAAATAGTTACAATACCTCATCTGGGAAATACAGAAAGATCCTGATAAAGGCCGGAGCGTAAAACGGCCGAAACGTCGCGAATATGAGGACACAGTCTGATTAATTTATATAGTGTAAATAGTTACAATAACTCATCTCGGAAATATGGAAAGATCCTGATAAAGGCCCGAGCGTAACACGGCCGAAACGTCGCGAATATGATGAGGACAACAGTCTGATTAATTTATATAGTGTAAATAGTTACAATACCTCATCTCATACTGAAGAAGGCCTGAACAATATAAATAATTTAAATTATTATTTTATTCGTATCTTAAATATTTTATTACACCCGTTTTATTTCAGATGGTGCGGGGTATTGCTATGTGAATTTTCAAATTTTCTCACCAAACAAAAATTTTATTTAATGTTAATATATTACCTCTTTTATTTTGTATCCATTTTTTTTCATTTTGTTAGTTTATATTTATTTTATATACGTAGTATTTTGATTCATTTTTACTTATCTATTTTTATTCATGATTATTTTTTTTCATTTTTATTTATTTGCTTAATTATTTATGCCACATATCCGGAATATCGCATATCCGGAATCCCTAATATCCGGAATCCCTCACATCCGGACATGATTCTTGATGTATATATTTGAACTATTTGGGTGATATGTAATTGATTTGAAATTTTTGATTTTCATGAAAATTTCTTTGGATAATTGCTTATGCTTATATCACCCTAATGGCTTGTATTGGTGCAAAAGATGATGGGAATGAGAGGAAAGGATGACAACATCTGCAACAAGATAGCAACGAGATGCATGATTTTGATGAAACCAGTCTTGAAATTGAAAAAGCTATTGAAACGGTTGTCAGTTTTATGGAAAGAAAGCAAACATTCAGCCATGACGATTGCAATAACGCATGCAGATTTAAAAAGTGTCTTTTGTTAAAAATATTTCAAGAACAAAAGCAAAACTAAATCCGGAAATAGTTGAGAATGACATTACAAGAGAAAGAATCATCATGCAACAGCGATTAAAAAAATCCTCGTTACATTATTTGTTTTGCATACGTGGCATACTTAATTTAATGAATTTTCATTAACATTACATAATTTATTTCTTCTTCCTTAAAATCAATTCCGTTATATTTCATTCACCATTAGTTTATTTTATTTACTATAAAACATTGAAAATAAATGTTAAACCTGATTTCAGTTCTTTTATTTTAATCTAAATATAACCACTCATATCCGGATTTTGTAACCAATTCCTCATATCCGGAAGGCCTTCTTAGTTTAAAGTACTCTTATTAAAAAAGCATTTTGAATTAATGCAGTTACTGATATAACAGATGTAGTCTGTATTTATTCAATCAACTTAGCCGAGGACATGAAGGGGTAAAACAGGCAACATGAAGGCCCACTTCACACCACAATCATTTTGGAGTTTTTGAAATTCAAATTGGCAGTATGCTACCGGGGATGTAAAAGAGGATACATTTATAAAGCAATGGCATACCGCGACGAAAAACATACAGATTCTTCCTTGGATTTTATCAAGAATCTCTAAATACATAGCAGAACCAGCAGACCAAATGTGACAGCAATATTCCAGCAACGACGCCATCGTTTTATGATTTCCATTATTTCACAAATGGTCTACTTTAAAATATTGAACAGATAGTTAAACTTAATATCAAAATGGCCGACCCGGGAATTAAGGAGACTAAGCTAAGTATAATTTTGACAACCATCATTGACTTGTGTTTTTATGACGATGAACTCTTTATAGAAAACTAGCAGTCATATCCAGCTGGTTAACCAGAAAAAGCGTTCAATTAGAATTGAGCAAAAATAGCATCATGTTTAGATGTAACAGAGTCTATCTTCTTCAATTACTTTCATTAAAAACATTTTGAATTAATACAGTTACTGATATAACAGAAGTCGTCTGTATTTATTCAATCGAATTTAGACGAGGACATGAATGGTTAAAACAAGCAATATGAAGACCCACATCAGACCACAATTATTTTGGAGTTTTTGAAATCCATTTTGTCAGTGTGCTACCAGGGATGTAAAAGTGGATACATGTATAAAGCAATTATTAAGTTTGATGAAAATTGGTTGAAAGATCGACGAAAACTAAGAAAGAAACCAGTAAAAATCACTATTTTTTTCGATTTACGCGGGTTTTCCCTATATGAGTGAACTCAATTATCAAGTTAAATGACTGTTAAACAATCAACTTATCGTTGGGTATAATTGAGTGAAGTTTGTATTAGATCGCTTGAAAATTGAGGGAGTATTTAGTTTAAAATTTGTGTTGAAATCGATTTTTTGTTTTTCGCGGTTTCTCGCTACACTGTAGGGTAGAAATAAAAATGAGGTATCGTTGAGCTCGTCATGGTGTAAGTAACCTACACACCAAGTTTGAACGAAATCCATTTTTATCGGCTTTATTGATTACTGATTATTTCTTAAATTATCGATTTTTTACGCTAAGAACCAATGGAAAAAAAAGTGTTGGCTAAGAAAAGTTTTTCTTTTCGTCTTTATTCATATTGTCTTTCTACAGATATATATTTTAATTATAATTATTACACATAAAATGGCGAAAATTTAGCCATCGTTTCTGTATATTGAATGCTTTTTAATTTCTCTTAAATTAAAAATATCGTCATTACTTGTGTAATTTGTCTGTATTATTTTTAACAAGACAGAAAGTGATATGTCCCGAAAAGGGATATATTTGAACAAAGTAGCTACGTGGTTTTGGCTACTATAACCAAGTAGAATACGGTAGCAGTAATCGACTGGTACGCGTCGTGGTCGCAGGTAAGAAGTGTAGATCAATGGCGTAGTCCAATGGGCGTCGTTATAGACTTAGCTCTCAGACTAAGGATCTTTGACTCTGTTGTACCTACACGTCCGTCGGTATTTATGACGGACACCAGCCAATCATATTCCAGTGAGGGGGAACACAGGTGTACGCATATTCCATTATATAAGAAAGAAAGAAAGAAAGAAAGAAAGGAAGGAAGGAAGGAAGGAAGGAAGGAAGGAAGGAAGGAAGGAAGGAAAAAAGAAAGAAAGGAAGGAAGGAAGAAAGAAAGAAAGGAAGGAAGGAAAAAGAAAGAAAGAAAGAAAGGAAGGAAGGAGAAAGAAAGAAAGGAAGGAAGGAAGGAAGGAAGGAAGGAAAAAAGGAAGGAAGAAAGGAAAGAAGAAAGAAAGGAAGAAATAAAGAAAGGAAGGAAGAAAGGAAAGAAGAAAGAAAGAAAGGAAGAAAGAAGGAAAGAAAGAAAGGAAGGAAGAAAGAAAGGAAGAAAGAAAAAAGAAAGAAAGAAAGAAAGGGAGGAAGGAAGGAAAAAAGAAAGGAAGGAAGAAAGAAAGGAAGAAAGAAAGGAAGGAAGTAAGGGAGGAAGGAAAAAAGAAAGGAAGGAAGAAAGAAAGGAAGAAAGAAAGGAAGAAAGAAAGAAAGAAGGAAAGAAAGAAAGGAAGAAAGAAAGAAAGAACGAAAGAAGGAAAGAAAGGAAGGAAGAAAGAAAAAAGAAAGAAAGAAAGAAAGGAAGAAAGAAAGGAAGGAAAAAAGAAAGGAAGGAAGAAAGAAAGGCAAACGATAGTAAAAAGGAAAAGGTAGAAAGAATAAATAATAGAAAAAGGAAAGAGCAAAGAAGAGTAATATAGAAAAAGAATAGATGAAGAAAATTAATAAAGAAAGAAAGACACAAAGAAAATGAAATAACGAAAGAGATTAGGCATGAAAGAAAGAAAATGATGAAAAGAAAGTAAATAGAGATGAAAAAGAAAGAATGAGTGTAGGAAAAAGCAAAAAAAAAAAAAAAAACGGAAAGAAAGAATGAGTGAAAGACAGAGGGAAATAAACCAAGAAAGTGAAAAAGAAAACGAAAAAAAAGAAAGAGAAACAAAGAAAGGAAGAAAAAGAGAAAGAAGAAAAAGAAAGAAAGAGAGAAAGAGAGAAACAAAAGAAAGAAGTAAATGAAAGAAAACGGAAGTATGAATGAGAAAGAATGTTTATAACTTGAAAAAGATAGAAAAATGACAGAAATAAAGAGAGAAAAAGAAAGAAAGGGTAAAGGAATGAATGAATGAAAGAAAGAGAAATATGAACGGCTAAAAGACAAAATGAATGCAAGTGGATGAGAAAGGCAAACGAGGAAGTTAGAATTAAGGAAAGATTGATTAAAGAGACAAAGAGCGGAAAAGAAAGAAAGAAAGAAATATAGATAGATAAATAAAATAAAAGAGGACAAAAGAAAACATTTTCAAGAGAGTATAAAAGAAAAAAAGTAAGGAAAAATTAAATGAAAAAGGGAAAAGGAAAAGAAAGAAAGAATAAAAAGAAAGAAAGGGAAAATGAAAAGAAGAAGAAAAAGGAAAATGAAAAGATAAAAGAAAGAAAGAAAAACAATAAAGAAAGGGAAATTGAAAAGAAAAAGAAAAAAGGAAAATGAAAAGAAAAAGAAAGAAAGAAAAAAATGAAAAGAAAAGGAAAATGAAAAAAAAACGAAAGAAAGAAAAAATGAAAAGAAAAAGTAAGAAAAGGAAAATGAAAAGAAAAAGAAAGAAAGAAAAAAATGAAAAGAAAAGGAAAATGAAAAAAACGAAAGATAAAATGAAAAGAAAAATAGAGAAAGGGAAATGAAAAGAAAAAAAGAAAGTAAAAATGAAAAGAGTAATAAATGAAAGAGCATGACAAGGAAAATAAAAAAAAGAGGAAATGAAATAAACATTGTGAAGGAAAGAAGACGAAGAGAAAAAAATAAACATTTGTCATAAAAATGTTTTAAAAAATCAAATATAAAAGAACAAATCATATAAAAAAAAAGACTTTCGATGTGATTATCGACAGAACTCCCAAACAAGGAAAATAGAAAAAAGAAAAAAACAAAAAAAAACAAAAACAAATACACGCGAATGAAACCTGAAAATAAAAAGACAAAAAATAAATAAATTAATTTTTTGTATTTTGGTAAACAGATTGTAAACAAAAATGAAAAATATTTGCATATGATTGATAAATATTCATCAATAGGTCTTTAAAAAAAAATGTCAGATGATAGCGTTGCATCGTGACTTCGATAGAGAAAGACGAGATTTCATTTTTATAATATTTTTTCACGTGTTCTCTGCAGCATTTTTACTTAGTCGTATGACGTGATCTCGGTGTTTGTCAATAATAAATGCCAAATATAAGAGGCAAGAAGAAAAAGGAAACATATCTGTAATCTTTAATGATAAGATAAGAAACAAATAGCAAACATTTATCAATCTAACATGTTTCGCTTTTATTAAAGCTTCATCAGCGAATGAGATATAGAGGAGAAAAAGAAATTTATATAGTTAGGAAGAAGAAAAAATCCGTTAACACTTGAGATTTTTTTTAAGCATTTCACCCCAAGCAGAAGTCTTTTCATTCTCTTTCACTCCCAGTAGCCGTTAGCGTCTTAGCGGCATTATCGCCTTGCTTGGGGTGAATTGATTTTTTTTTTACTAAGCATTTCACCCCAAGCAAGGCGGGAAGCCACTAGAACGCAAGGCGTTACAGAAAATTTATAGCAAGATCAGATAGGAGTGATAGAAGAAAGGATGAGGGTAGTGGATAGATGAAGGCAACTGGAGATGTCGATTGTCATTACACTTGAATAGCTGGAGATTATAGCTCACAGGGAAACAGGAATAGGGAAGGGAGTTCCACAGGCGAGAGGTGCGATATATGAAGCTATTAGAGTAAAAGAGACGGCTACATTTAGGAGTTTCGACAGTGAAGGGGTGAGAGCGGGATGCCAGCCTCGTAGAGCGCTTGAACTCATGAAGTCTGAGAACCAGCGAATGCAGCTCCTCGGAGCAATTTCCATGAAAGTATTTGTAGAACAGACAGAGGGAGACGACGGTGCGTCTGTTAGAAAGTGACTGTAGACGAGATGCCAGAGCAGGGCCAATTATATTGCATATCCGCCTCTGGATCTTATCAAGTACCCCGAGGCAAACAGAAGAGGCACCAGACTATATATGACAGCAATACTCCATGCAAGGGCGAATTGTTGATTTGTAGATCTGGAGGATCGACTCCGGGGAGAAAACTTCCTGGCGCGGCACAGGGAGCCAACTGATTCTAGGATTTAAGAAATAAAATGACTGCACTGTAGAAAAAGTTCCATTGGCGAGACAGCAAGAAATCTAAAAGCCCGCATCTTTGAACATAAGAGATCTACGTTAGAACCAGCCTTTAAAAAAAACTACCTCTTAACGCAGAGACAAATAAATAAATGCCACCCTAATTTTAATAAAATAAAAACAGAATTCTAGACTTCGTGGGAATACTGATAAAAAATTTAACATTTATAAATACACATAAAGCACTCTAGATTACATCACCAAATTTTATAAAATCTATACTTAAAGAATCTAGAATATGTCTATACGCCAAGCACTGACCTGTCGAACATTTTTACCCGCCCTCTCTCTTTCTCGATATATATATATATATATATATATATATATATATATATATATATGTGTGTGTGTGTGTGTGTGTGTGTGTGTGTAAGGTTTAAATATCTACACACACAGATACACACACACACACACATATATATATATATATATAGAGAGAGAGAGAGAGAGAGAGAATGAGAGGGCGAGAGAAGGGGAGTGAGATAGAGTGAGAGAGAACGATCACTATATTCAGATATATCTATCCATATGCCGGTTTGTGAATATTCATTCCATTACCGGTGTAGATAATGGCTAATAAATTATTTTTAACGGCAACAAAAAAAAAAAAAAATTTTGACGTATATAATTTTAACCAGTTTCATATCGTAAAGAAAAAGAATATATAAATTATTTCTCCATCTAGTTTGTTATCTATGTCTGTCACTCTTTCACTCTCTGTCACTCTCTCTGTCATGGATATTTTTTGTTACAAATATATATATATATATATATATATATATATATATATATATATATATATGTGTGTGTGTGTGTGTGTGTAACAAAAAATATTCATATCTATCTATATATATATATATATGTATATATACATATGTATGTATATATGTATCAGACTTTTCGTATCTATCGATGCATTGAAGTCATTGCATTGTATCTATCTATCTATCTATCTATCTCTCTCTCTCTCTCTCTCTCTCTCTATATATATATATATATATATATATATATATATATATATATGTATATATATCAGATTTTTCGTATCTATCCATGCATTTAAGTCTTTTCGTATCTATCTATCTATCTATCTATCTATCTATCTCAGACTTTTGATATCTATCTATGCATTTAAGTCTTTTAATATCTATCTATCTATCTCAGACTTTTCATATCTATCTATGCATTTAAGTCTTTTAATATCTATCTATCTATCTATCTATCTATCTCAGACATTTCATATCTATCTATGCATTTAAGTCTTTTAATATCTATCTATCTATCTATCTATCTATCTATCTATCTATCTATCTATCTATCACGATCTATTAATATATGTGTTGAGCAAGGCGTATCCAATCTTTTATGTAAATCCGTTCCGTCGAATTATTGATTAATTTCTGATCTTTAACCCCGCCCCCCTCCTTATTCTTCCTTCTTCCCGATTAATCCCGTAGTTCGTTTAGCAAACGTATGCAATTTCATATTTCTTACATTTTTTTTATTTACACGCATATATATTTTTAAAGGTTTTACCAAGATAACAGTAGACAAGGAATATCAAGCGGCTTTAATCTAAATGCATCTAGCCAAAGAAAGTATAATTTCCGAAATAGTCGCCCAAAACCGAACCACTTTCGCGACGATAATTCAAAAGACTTCAAAGGCTAAAACTAGTTTTGGAAAAAGAAAAAAAAAACAAATAAAAAAAAAAGACTAACGAATCACGAATGTTTTCGACACATGCATAATTACAAAGTCTACGCTTGCTTTTTTTTTTCCCGTGACACGGAGGTAGGTTGATATCGCCATAATGTTTTGGATCAGTTATACGATTTTCATAAGAATGTATTTCTCCCATGTCTGCAATAAGATATTTTCTCCTCTTCTTTCTTGGTGCCATGAAGGTTTTGGTATAGAATATTCAATCAGTTACATCGTTCTTAGCAATTTCCAGAGAAGTAAAGAATTTTTTTTTATTCATTAATCCGACAGATTGTTACATTGTTATATTCAATGACACCTATTCATGCATAGGCCTAGAGATATTATATATATATATATATATATATATATATATATATATATATATATATATATATATATAATAATAATAATAATAAAAAGGTTCAAACACTAATATTTCATCGTTATAATTTATTACATTGGAATCATAATCACGATCCAATTCACGAGACCTACAAATTCAAAAAGAAATCGATAAATATAACTCCGGATATATAAAATAAAATTTCAGTGACAGTGTATGTGTGTGAGTGGGAAACAAGTGTGAGAGGGAAATGTATGAATGCTCTAGAGAGGGGTAACAGAAGAAAGAAGAACAGGAAGGCCTAAAGGGAAGGTGGAAAATATATATATATATATATATATATATATATATATATATATATGTGTGTGTGTATTGACCACTAATATTATATATATATATATATATATATATATATATATATATATATATATATATGTATGTGTGTGTGTGTGTGTATTGACCTAATATTATATATATATATATATATATATATAATACACTAGCAGTAGTTCGGCGTTGCCGGGGATGTAACAATAAGAGATAGATCAAGTATCGACCATCATAAAGACTGAAAAATAAAATTGACAAAGATTATTGTTTAAGGTTGACGGACACGCATGTCTTAATTAGTTTTGTTGTTTTTTTTCTACGAATTGGTCAAACCCAAACTCAAACAAAAGCCTTGTTTTCAATTGTTATGAGTCTACCGATTGAATAGAATTTTATTATAAACAATTGTCTTGTAAATGGAATTTTTAAAGCATTCTGAATGTAAAATAAAGAAAAAAGTTTGCAAGACAATAAGAAATGCTACCTGCCAAAAAAAAAAAAAAGTGAAGTTTTGTTGAAATCGGTTGAAGTTTTAAAAATAACAGTGGGGTTTTAAACAGGGATTTGAATTTACTCAGAGTGTATAATTTCCACAGGGAGACCTTTAGCCAACAACACTCATCGGAAGAGTAAGTCCTACTACTTTACTTATTCCTTGTATCGTTGAAAAAGAGCACAGGCGTGTTCGAAATTTCCAACTTTAAAATCTGTTCGTGCTTTATTTCCGTCAAAACGTTAATCAATATAATACATTTGAATGTCAGTGTGTCACTGTATCACACTTTTTCAACTTTACTCCTAGAGGCCGTAACCCATTTTGGAATCAGGCCGACTCCGTGAGCAAATTAAAAACATTCCATGTCGGATCCGGTCCCGTATTCAAGAGATTTGGGATTCTCAAGTTACATTACAGCGATTGTTTTCGGAATCCAACATCTTGGCTGCTACTGATAAAACAATTAAAGGGATACAACTCTCTAACTTTCAATAGCTCATTTTCAAATGAAAAAAAAACTTTTCTCAAATAAAAAATGTTTCAAGATAAATTTGCCCGTGATTTCAACATTACTCTTACAGACCCTAGCCCAACATATCAGACCATTTTGGAATCAGGCCGATTCCGTGCCCAAAATCAGATCCGGACCTGAAATCCTGAAATGTTTGATTCTCAAGTTTTCATTTCTGCGACTGTTTTCGGCGAGTTTTTACGTGATTTTTTGGCGATAATATTTTTGGGACGATAAAAATTCTTATATCTTGGAAATAAATTTGGAAACAATCGAATTTTAATGCGAAATTCAGCGAAAGTCACTCATGATATAAAAACGATTTTTTTTTGCACGGAAAGTAAGGACCTACGTACATCAAAATGTCTTTAAATTATGTTGCGGCTGAAGAATTATCACTGATATTTTAACGGATAAGCTTAAATGTAAAATGTAGCGGTCAATTTTGAGTTCTTCTGTAGTTTATGGTTCCTTTTTGCATCTGTTCCTTCTTACCTATTGTGATGATGACCCAATCAAGACCCCCTCCGCTAGCTTAGATTCTTCTTGATAGGGCCGCTTTTAGCTAGTATGTAATAAATATCAATTTCTGTTGAAAATATTGGTATCAGTTTAATTTTTATTCTTCAAATTGTATCAACTGGCCTATGAAATCTAAATATTATAAGAACACGTTGACCACCTTTCATATATATATATATATATATATATATATATATATATATATATATATATATATATAGAAATGTACTAAGTCCGACAATTATTATAAGACATTTTTATGAATACATTCATTTTATAGATACAAACATTTAAGTAAATGCTCTGTTTATAATAAACAATATTAAACAACATTTACCGGCTTGAATGTCCGAGAAATTTTCATAGAAAATATTCGTCCTCCGAAAGGAATCGAACCTGTATCCTATACGAAACCGTCATTTAGCCTGACGTGCCTTTAACCGACTCGGCCACAGCGGAGCGTTCTATGAAATTTCTCAGACATTTACGTGTGACGTCATTTTTTTACATTTGGATACGCATTGAGCAGATGTGAATGTACATGAGAGATTCATGGAAGATTGAATTTTAAATACAGTAAAATCGACCTTGCTAACCGAATGCTCCTCTGTAGCTCAATCGGTTAAGGCACGTCAAACTAAATGACGGTTCCGTATAGGATAGAGGTTCGATTCCTGTCGGAGAACGAAAATTTTCGATGACAATTTCTCGGACATTCAGGCCTGCAAATGTTATTAATACTGTTTATTATAAAACAGAGCATTTACTTCAGTATTTCTATCTATAAAAAGAATGTATAAACATAAAAATGTCTTTTATATATATATATATATATATATATATATATATATATATATATATAATGGATCCATATGTCAGGTTTGACGTGTAAAGGCAGAACAGTATAAAGAACAGGAAATGAAGTGTTCTGTGCTTATCCTTCTGAGAAACCAATCCTAAATAGGTTCTTGTTGTATGAAGCAAATGGCATATTAAATGTGGATTTTGTATTCAATCCTAACTCTCTCAGAGGGCTAAGCTGAGATGATTCGAAAATGCCAATAGCATTATGATGGTTTGTTTCTCCATTTAATACTGCCCATGGCAGTTGGTTCAGAAGATGGCAGAGGGATCATATTATCTTTGGAGTTGTCTTTAAGCTTGTCTTTCAAGTGTAACAAGGGGATAATGGATTACACACACCCATACACGCGGATATATATATATATATATATATATATATATATATATACACACACACACACACACACACACACACACATATATATATATATATACATATATATATATATATATATATATATATATATATATATATATATATATATATGCTTCTGTTCATTATCTATCTATCTGTTTATGTCAGTCTACATCTATCTAGCTAGCTAGCTGTCTGTCTGTCTGTCTGTCTATCTATCTATCTGCTTCTGTTTATCATCTATCTATCTATCTATCTATCTATCTATCTATCTATCTATCTATCTATCTATCCACGTCAGTCTACATCTATCTATCTATCTATCTATCTATCTATCTATCTGTCTGTCTGTCTATCTGCTTCTGTTTATTATCTATCTGTCTGTCTGTCTGTCTATCTGCTTCTGTTTATTATCTATCTATCTATCTATCTATCTATCTATCTCCTTCTGTCTATCTATCTATCTATCTATCTATCTATCTATCTATGTTAATCTATCTATGTGTGAGTATATATATATATATATATATATATATATATATATGAATATATATAGTTTTAAGGTGTGCTATATTTATGGGATAAAGTGCCCAATATCAGAGATAAAGCGTATGTAAATATAAACATATAAGTGAACATTGAAGTCAACACTGAGAGGCGACAGGCTGTTTCATGCTCGACCCAATCGTCAGGCCGCGAATGTTGGGTTTTTTTCACGGCTATTAAATAGCAATCCTGAAATCTTGGACTCCCAATTTTTCATTTCTGCGATTGTTCACGGCGAGTTTTTACGTGATTTTTTGGCGCTGTTTTTTTTTTTTTTTTTATTTTTGTACGAAAAAATTTGTATAACTTGGAAATATGTTTGGAAATAATCGAAATTAGATGCGAAATCCAGCGAAAGTCACCTATGAAATAAAAACAATCCTGTATTCGCGGCCTAACAATTGCGTCCAGCATGTAACAGCCTGTCGCCTATGAGAGTTGACTTCAATGCTCACTTTTATATATATCTATGTAAAAAGGATTAGAAAGAAATACATCTATATTTTTTTAAGGTTTTAGAAAGGATTAGAAAAAAGTGAATCTATATTTCTTAAGGTTTTATTGAAATTTTATTTAAGTTTCCACACGTCCTCCATCAGGGTAATAATATTTTGCAGTTCGTGGCTTCTCATGGACGGAGCCTGTCTTTTTTAAATTTTTTCATCCATTTAGCAATAGTGTTCCTATGACGTGGTTCTTTATTGTATTCAATTCTAAACTTTTTTTGTACAGCAATAGTAGATTTCAGTTCAGCCAACCAAAGGACACAGTTTACTTTTTCCTCAGTTGTAGTGACGGATCAAATTGATTCTGGAAAAAAGAAAATATTTTTTTTACTTATCTAAAAATTGTGGCAAATTGTTTGCTAAATAATTATTCAATAACTATACTTAAAACTAGGTACATTAAACTTTATTTACAGATTATTTCTATCGCAAATACAAATAAAGTTATAATTTTTAAAGTGCACATGAACTTTATGGACACCATATATATATATATATATATATATATATATATATATATATATATATATATATATATTATATTTGAATAAAAACAGACCACTTTAAGGTTCTATGTAATAAGTTATTTCACCATGTTTTTATGTAATAAGTTATTTCACCATTGAAATGAAAAATGAAAAGAAATTCACACATGTGAATTTCTTTTCATTTTTCATTTCAACCTTTGGAAGTAAAGTCTGATGATCCAGAGCCCTTTAAAAGGGCTGTGGTGAAATAACTTATTACATGGAACCTTAAAGTGGTCTGTTTTTTATTCAAACATATTTGCTCTGAATTTTACATTGAGCTCTCCGGATATCATCCTCCTTGGGTCTACCCATGCGGATTACCTAGTTTTGCATAAACTATATATATATATATATATATATATATATATATATATATATATATATATATAAAAGTTAAGGGGTCCACCCCTTTTTATACAAGTGGACTCGACCAGTCTGTACTTTTACTGCTGCCGGTGAATACCCGGGAGTAAGAAAGTGATACAGTGATAGTGTGAGCTTTGTAGGAGTCCCAGTTGCGAGCATGTAGACTCAAAAGGAAGTCCTACTTCAATACTGAATTTCCCAGACTGTATATATATTATTATTGCTACTAACCGCATTTCTGGATCTACTAACCGTATTACCAATTGTATTATTACGTCAATAAATTTATTTGCTATATTTCATTCCTGCGTTTGTCATTCATTTGAGACCGGATTTCATCCCGAAATCAATATATATATATATATATATATATATATATATATATATGTCCTATTTTTCTGAAATTTTCACTAAATGTAAACAAATAGCATGATTTTTTCTCAAGTATCAAGTGTCCCAAATTTTCACAATCTCATTTGGTAGGTTATTCACTATTTTCCTCTATCCCTCTTGCCTTCAAAGCCCTGTGAGTGTTAAATTATCTAAGCCCTCTTTCTTCATTATGTGCAATAGAAATTTCAACTCTTTCTATCTTATATTTATTTAAATTCTTTTTTTTTAAGAATCAGTTAAATTCGATCGAGCAGGCTACGGATATTGAACCGTTAATGAAAACAATTGAAAAAGTGTGGAAGAAAATGCCCACATCTTCTGATGCATGGTCACTATGGGAACCAGTTGATTTGTGGATGAATAAGATGCCGACCCTGATAGCCATGAAAGATGAAATGATTCGAATGGCACCTAAAATATTTAACTTTGAAAGGACAGAAAATAATTGCTCATTCTTTTTTTTTTTATGTGATTTACATTTGGATGATTATCCTTATCTTTGTTGCTAACACAACATATTGGCTGTTAATTCACAATCCAAAGAAAAGTTAATGCCACAGGCTGCTGCATTTTGCTGGTATGGGCAAATTGCTACTGTTAACTGATCCTATCTGATATACTATATTTATTTTTTTAAAAAAATGCTTCTTCGAGTTTCAGCCAACGAAAGTCTACACGACAATCATCTGATGGCATGGATTTATTGAAAAATAAACATACATTATATATATATATATATATATATATATATATATATATATATATATATATATATATATATATATATATATATATATATATATATGCATGTATGTATGTACAGATGATTGAAATCATACTTATTAACTATAATGTTTAAAAGAAATGGATATCAGAGGAAAGTGTTTAGAATGAGGTCTTATTAAAAAATTCGATATGGTTACCTGATTCCATAAATCCTAGCCATAATATTCCAGGTTCTATAAAGAGCTAGTATTCAAATCATTTCTAATGCATTCCTATAGTAAAATCATTTGCAATGAATTTCTATCGATGTTTTTAGTATTTGCTATATCACTAGATATAGAATCATTAGAGGGAATGAAAGTTTGGATGGATTTGTTTCATAAATCCTAGCCATAATATTCCAGGTTCCATAAAGAGCTAGTATTCAAATCATTTCTAATGCATTCCTATAGTAAAATCATTTGCAATGAATTTCTATCGATGTTTTTAATATTTGCTATATCACTAGATATGGAATCATTAGAGGGAATGAAAGTTTGGATGGATTTGTTTCATAAATCCTAGCCATAATATTCCAGGTTCCATAAAGAGCTAGTATTCAAATCATTTCTAATGCATTCCTATAGTAAAATCATTTGCAATGAATTTCTATCGATGTTTTTAATATTTGCTATATCACTAGATATGGAATCATTAGAGGGAATGAAAGTTTGGATGGATTTGTTTCATAAATCCTAGCCATAATATTCCAGGTTCCATAAAGAGCTAGTATTCAAATCATTTCTAATGCATTTCTATAGTAAAATCATTTCTAATGCATTCCTATAGTAAAATCATTTGCAATGAATTTCTATCGATGTTTTTAGTATTTGCTATATCACTAGATATGGAATCATTAGAGGGAATGAAAGTTTGGATGGATTTGTTTCATAAATCCTAGCCATAATATTCCAGGTTCCATAAAGAGCTAGGATTCAAATCATTTCTAATGCATTCCTATAGTAAAATCATTTGCAATGAATTTCTATCGATGTTTTTAGTATTTGCTATATCACTAGATATGGAAGCATTAGAGGGAATGAAAGTTTGGGTGGATTTGTTTCATAAATCCTAGCCATAATATTCCAGGTTCCATAAAGAGCTAGTATTCAAATCATTTCTAATGCATTCCTATAGTAAAATCATTTGCAATGAATTTCTATCGATGTTTTTAGTATTTGCTATATCACTAGATATGGAATCTTTAGAGGGAATGAAAGTTTGGATGGATTTGTTTCATAAATCCTAGCCATAATATTCCAGGTTCCATAAAGAGCTAGTATTCAAATCATTTCTAATGCATTCCTATAGTAAAATCATTTGCAATGAATTTCTATCGATGTTTTTAGTATTTGCTATATCACTAGATATGGAATCATTAGAGGAATGAAAGTTTGGATGGATTTGTTTCATAAATCCTAGCCATAATATTCAGGTTCCATAAAGAGCTAGGATTCAAATCATTTCTAATGCATTCCTATAGTAAAATCATTTGCAATGAATTTCTATCGATGTTTTTAGTATTTGCTATATCACTGAATATGGAATCATTAGAGGAATGAAAGTTTGGATGGATTTGCCATAATATTCAGGTTCCATAGCTAGGATTCAAATCATTTTTAATGCATTCCTATAGTAAAATCATTTGCAATGAATTTCTATCGATATTTTTTAGTATTTGCTATATCACTAGATATGGAATCATTAGAGGGAATGAAAGTTTGGGTGGATTTGTTTCATAAATCCTAGCCATAATATTAGGTTCCAGCTAGTATTCAAATCATTTCCATTCCTATAGTAAAAAATTTGCAATGAATTTCTATCGATGTTTTTAGTATTTGCTATATCACTAGATATGGAATCTTTAGAGGAATGAAAAGTTTGGAATTTGTTTCATAAATCCTAGCCATAATATTCAGGTTCCTAAATAGCTAGTAAAATCATTTCTAATGCATTTTAGTAAAATCATTTGCAATGAATTTCTATCGATGTTTTTAGTATTTGCTATATCACTAGATATGGAATCATTAGAGGGAATGAAAGTTTGGATGGATTTGTTTCATAAATCCTAGCCATAATATTCCAGGTTCCATAAAAGAGCAGGTTCCATTTCTAATGCATTCCTAAGTAAAATCAGCAATGAATTTCTATCGATGTTTTTTAGTATTTGCTATATCAAATATGGAATCATTAATGTTTGGATGGATTTGTTTTAAATCCTAGTAAAAGGTTCATAGTTTCAAATCATTTCTAATGCATTCCTATAGTAAAATCATTTGCAATGAATTTAGATGCTTTTTAGTATTTGCTATATCACTAGATATGGAAGCATTAGAGGGAATGAAAGTTTGGGTGGATTTAAATATGGAAATATATGTTTTTAGTTCTGGCTAATTTGCATGTTAACAGTTTTCATTTTTACTTGTTCTACTGCTGCTTATACATCTTTAATAAAAATTCTCGAACATTCAGGCCGGTAGGTGAAAACAAATAAATATACTGTTTAATAAATAAATGGAACACTTACTCAGATACGTGTATCCTTTAAAATTATATTTGAAGTTATAAAAATATGCCGGATTGATTAGAACCCATTTTGAAATATACAGTAGTGTCCAAAATTTAGAAACAATAATTAAAATTTGGATATCTAAAAAGATCAAAAGTTCTCAATTTTTCCGAAATTTTCACTAAATATGGTCAAATGGGAGTTCAGTTGCCCTTTAAATCTCTAAGTCTTTTGAAATGAAACAGAGGGAGCTATGGTTCATTTAATTATTTATTCAAATATCAAGTTTCCAAAATTAAGAAACAAATCGGGAAGAATAACGCACAACCGTACCATCGCCTCCCTCTATCTTTTTTTACAAATACTTCCACGGTAACTGCTCCGAGGAGCTGCTTTTGCTGCTTCCCAGACGCCATGAATTTAAGCGTTCTACTAGGCTGGCATCTCACTCTCATCCTTTCACTGTCGAAACTGTTAAATGTAGCCGTCTCTTCTACTTCAATAGCTTCATGTCTCACACGTCACGCCTGTGGAACTCCCTCCCCTTTTCCTGTTTCCCTGATAGCTATAATCTCCAACTATTCAAATATAATGTCAATCGACGTCTCCAGATGCCCTGATCTATCCTCTATCCTTCTCTTCATCCTTTCCTCTATCACTCCTATTTGCTCTCGCACCAAATCTCTGTAACGCCTTGCGTGCTAGTGGCTTCCCACCTTGCTTGGGGGGAAACGGTTATAAAATAATAATAATGATAATAATAATGAAAAAAAAATGCCTCCTTATTGATATAGCAGTCCCTGCTGACTGCAATGTATCTTTGAAATACAAACACCTTGAAATCTCGAAAATTTGGCATATGGTAACATCAACAATCCCTGTTGTAGTTGGAGCCCTAGGATTGGTTGGAAAAGATTCCAGTAGACTAGTTGAAGGGATTCCTGGAAGTCCATGCCTTAAAGAGATACAAAAAATTGTTCTGACAAGTACAGCCCACACTTTACGAAGGGCTTTATCTATGTAATTTTTTTTTTGTCAGTGTCATGATGCCATTTCTAAACTTAGGTCCTTGGGCAGGACCAGGAAAGAAATAATAATAATAATAATAATAATAATAATAATAATAATAATAATCTGAATTTCGGATAAAGGAGGTTGCTGTGAAACTTGGCTCGCTTCTCTGCCGTTTCTCTTTCTATCTTTATTATGATTATTTTTCAGCTTAGACATGCAGAACATCCTTTTAAAAGAATGGAGCAACACAATCATTCTTTTTTTTTCTCCAAGTGCTTCTTGTATTTAATAAATATTCTCTTTTGTGTATGTTTATGAACGACCCACTTTGTTTGCGCACGTCTATAATGCCAGTTTGCTATTCCCATGTAAACTACTTGTTTGAGCAGATATGAATGGGCGCAGGCTGTCTTTTTGGCTCCACTTCCCAGAAACCCTGGTGCCATTAAAAAAAGAATAATCTAAAGTTCATTGCGAATGAATCAACGTCTTCGAGATTAGGTTTATATTTGGTTTCCGTCATGGCTTTTCTTTTCTTTTCTTTACTTTCGCAATTTAATATCTTTATCCATTTTCTTTCCACTGCGTACATGCCATTATAATCGATAGATTGTTACTCTTATGTCGAGTTTCTTTGTTTTGTTCCCCACCCCCTTAATTAAAGATATTCTTTCTTTCTGGTTCTCATTTATCACAGAAAATGTCAGATACGCTTAATATTTTGATAAGACGTTTTTACTCCTTATTAATATTAATATTATTATTTGTTATATCACTCCAAAATTATTATTATTATTATTATTATTATTATTATTATTATTATTATTATTTCTTTTCATTTCTGTTCTACACACATTTGCTTGCGGGTCCCAACCAGAGACCTAAGTGCAGAAATGGCTTCATGACATTTTCCACGGATTTTTGCAAACAACAACAAAAAAAACAAAAAAAAAACAACAAACAAACAAACAAATATCACACACATTTTACATAAATAAAGCTCTTCGTAATATGCGAGGTGTACTTGTGGGTACAATTTTTTATTTCTTTAAGGCGTGTGCTATCAGGGATTCTTTCAGTGAGTCCATTAGAACCTTCTACAATCGATCCGAGGGCTCCAACTATTATTATTATTATTATTATTATTATTATTTCTTTTGGTTTCTGGTGTATACTCATTTCTTTCCAGGTTCCGACCAGAGATCTAATCTCAGAATTGGCACCATGACATTTTTCACTGAGCCATTTTGAAAAAAAAAAAATAATATATACACGTATTTACATATATAAAGCCCTTCGTAAGGTGTGAACTGTACTTGTGTGTACATTTTTTCTTTTTTGTATTTCTTTAAGGCATGATTTCTTCAATGAGTCTACTGGAATATTTTACAATCAATCCGAGTACTCCAACTACAACTGGAATTTTTAATGTCCTTATGCAACATATTTTTGAGATTTCGATTTCAAGGTCCTTGTATTTTGACAGTTTTTTGAAGATCTTCAAAATATATATTGCATTCTGCAGGGACTGCCATATCAATAAGGAGGCACATTTCATCTTTGCAGTCTCTAATTACGATGTCAGGGCGATTAACTTTGATTGTTCTGTTTAAGTGTATATTATTATTATTATTATTATTATTATTATTAATGTCGTCGTTGTTTTATTTGCATTAATTTCTTGTGTATACTCATTTCTTTCCGGGTCCCAACCAGAGACCTAAGGTCAGAAATGGCATCATGACATTTTTTTATTGAGCAATTTTGAAAAAAAAAAATCGAATCTATTTTACATTAAAGCTCTTCGTAAATTATGGGCTGTAATTATTCATCCTATTTTTTTTGTACTTCTGTAAGGCATGGGCTACCAGGGTTTCTTTTAATGAGTCTATTGGAATATTTTCCAGTCAGTCTGAGGGCTCCAACTACAAGTAGAATTGTTAATGTCCTCATGCGCCACATTTCTGAGATTTCGATTTCAAGGTCCTTGTATTTTGATAGTTTTTTGAAGATCTTCAAAAGCACATTGCAGTCTGCGGGGACTGGAATGCCAATAAGGAGGCACACTTCGTCTTTAATCACGATGTTAGGGCGATTAGCTTTATTTGTTCTGTGTGTATTGTAAAATACCATAAGATTGTTACAGGTCCTATCTGCATAACATAGTCTGGATGGTGTTCATACTAATTTCTTGCAGTTTCTTTTCCATAAGTGTTTCAGATTTCCCCAGTTCAGATATTGGCCCAACTCTGTTGGGTCGTGTTTTATATTCAGTCGGTGCCAATACCACGCAACCTGATACAAGACGATCAATTGTTCCTGGATATTAATCACAGAATCTGCATTTTGGGCTAACACAATTTCTCAGTATGTGTGTTTGGTAATTTCTACTTAGCAAGCATTTGTCCTGTGCTTGAAGAATAAAACCTTCAGTTTCCAATCAATTCTAGGCTCCAACTATTATTATTATTATTATTGTTGTTGTTGCAGTTGTTGTTCTATTTCCTTTGATTTCTGGTGTATACTCATTTCTTCCCGGGTCCCAACCAGAGATCTAAGATAAGCGATGGCATCATGATATTTTCTATTGAGCAATTTTGAAAAAAATAAATCACACATATTTACATAGATAAAGCCCTTCGTAAGGTGTGGGCTGTACTTGTGAGTACAATTTTTTGTATTTCTTTGAGGCATGGACTTCCAGGTATTATTATTATTATTGTTGTTGTTGTTGTTGTTCTATTTCATTTGATTTCTGGTGTATACTCATTTCTTTCCGGGTCCCAATCAGAGATCTAAGGTAAGCAATGGCATCATGGCATTTTCTATAGAGCAATTTTGAAAAAAAAAATCACACATATTTACATAAAGCCATTCGTAAGGTGTGTGCTGTACCTATGAGTACAATTTTTGTATTTCTTTAAGGCATGTGCTACAAGGGATTATTATTATTATTATTATTATTATTATTATTATTATTATTATTATTATCAAATAACAGCAAATCTCCTGACAGCGTCACAACTCTCCTCAGTTATCATTATTACTAGAAATACCAGTCAAATTTTTACCGTTTTCCTATTTGAATTTTCTAATGATTTTTTTTTTATTTTTATTTTAAAGTCAATGATTATATGTGTTCATTGTGAGTTCTACGAAATAAAATATCTGTAGAGATCTTCGTGTCGCTTACTTAATTATTTGATCTTAACAACTTTAACAAAAATATCGCAATCATAAATATGAACGTCATTTTAAGAAGTGGGTACAAATGAAAAGATCTGAAACTGACAACTTTTTCCCTTTCACTGGAACAGACTTTAAATACTTCTTTCTTTCTTTCTTTATTTATTTCTTTCTTTCTTTCTTTTTTCTTTCTTTCTTTCTTTCTTTCTTTCTTTCTTTCTTTTTCTCACTGAAACCAAGTAATGCCTTTTCCTCTCCTTCCACGACTTCAAAACAGACTAGTCCATTATTTGCAAGGTACTGGCAGGGCGTAACGGTTGTGCGAATCAACGAAGGGAGGTACATGCACAGTGATAATAGGGTTATTATTATTATTATTATTATTATTATTATTGTTATTATTATTATATCCCAGCAAGACTCCTTAAGGCCTCGCCACTCTCCTCAAAATTCCCATCCAATTATCATTATTATTATTAGTATATAATACCTCTATGAAGACTGAGTAGCTACACCCCAAATATGGTAGCAATACTCCATTTTTGGTCTGGTCTCAATCTTAGAGTATAATAGTAGGAGTCAGATACTTACTGGCGCGGTACAATGAACTGGCCATTTCCCCAGCATATTTAGTAATGGATCGGATATATGTGTTCCACGTGAGGTCTGATATAGGTGAAAGTCCAGGGTCTACTCGCCACTATCACAGCCAAATATGCGTGACAGGGTGAGAAGATTTGATAAGAGCAGCACAGACCATAAGGTTTCGATTAGAAATACCTTCTGGTCGGATAACCTAGTCCGCGGAGACAGACATTTATTCCCAGGTATCAACAGTCTTGGCTGGCCCATTCTTGAAACATAAAAATCCGTCCACTTGACACTTGGTTACGATACTCGTCTAAAACTCCTGCTTATCAAGAGAGAGAGAGAGAGAGAGAGAGAGAGAGAGATGTTCAAGGTGTTAGTCCCTAGGGAATATGCTTCTCAGATGAAGAGGTAATCTGTGGTACCGTACGGGATATTTAAACTAGTCCCCAGTCATTCATCAAGAATATGCATGCACGTGTTAACATCTATAATTAATTAAGATCAGAAGCCATAACAACTTAGTTCGCATGACCGTTACGCTCTGGCAATACCTCATAAATAGTGGACTAATCCGTTTTAGTTGCGTGTGATGAGGGGAAAAATCTCTATTTTTTTTTTTGTTTTCCTTGGTCTAACCTTATGTGAGTTATTTCCCCCAAAAATGTTATTTCTTTTGAATAACTATTTAAATGTTAATGGCCCTTGTCAAAACTATACCAAATACAAAAATATTCCTTGTTTGACAGGATATTTATATATTATCTAGGAATGTGACCCAGTTATTTCCAATTAATGTTTTTATTATTATTATTATTATTATTATAAAATACAGGTTCTTTGCAGATCTCATTTGAATATTTTTTGTCGGGTAGCATATGTTGAAAAATCCAATCGCATTCCATTTTTTGTTCTGTTGCTCATCGCTCACGCAACAGAAGAAGGAAACCTCTGACTAATCTCTTTGCATGAGTCGTTTCGGTGTTGTGCAAGCCTGACTATAATCCCAGCATGGACATTGCTGAAATCTTAACATCTATATGCGTCTGGTTTAATGGATAGCGGCTCAGTTATTTGTTCGATCATTTCTACTGAATGCAAGTAAACTTGGAGCCTTTAACCTAACCTGCCCGCTGATTAGGTTGCAACTGCGGCTGCTGTCTGTCATGTTTTGATATTTGCTTATTAGTTTGTTGTTCTTAGTCTTCTCAATTATTTGTTCGATAATTTCCACTGAATGCAAGTAAACTTGGAGCCTTAAACCTAACCTGCCCGCTGATTATGTTGCAATTGCGGCTGCTGTCTGTCATGTTTTGATTTACGCTTATTAGTCCGTTGTTCTTAGTCTTCCCTTATCTGATTTATATCCGAAAAGCCATACGGGATATTTACTCTAGTCCCCAGTCATTCATCAAGAATATACATGTACGTGTTAACATCTATAATTAATTAAGATCCGGAACCATAACAACTTAGTTCGCACGACCGTTACGCTCTGCCAATACCTCATAAATAGTAGATGAATCAATTTTAGTTGCGTGTAATGAAGGGAAAAATCTCTATTTTCTTTTGTTTTCCTTGGTCTAACCTTATGTGAGTTATCCCCCCCCACAAAAAATGTTATTTCTTTTGAATAACTATTTGAATGTTAATGACTGTTGTCAAAACTATAGCAAATATAAAAATATTCCTTGCTTGCCAGGATATTTATATCTTATCTAGGAATGAGACATAGTTACTTCCAATTAGTCACTTGTTTTGTTTCGTTTGTTAATTTACAGATTTCCTTTGAATATTTTTATCGGGTAGCATATGTTGAAAAATCCAATCGCCTTCTATTTTCTGTTCAGTTGCTCATCGCTGACCCAACAGAAGAAGGAACACTCTGACTAATCTCTGTTTGCGTGAGTCGTTGCGGTGTTGTGCAAGCTTGACTATAATCCCAGCACGGATATTGCTGACATCTTAACATCTATGTGCGTCTAGTGTAATGGATAACGGCTCAGTTATTGCTCGCTCATTTCCACTGGATGCACGTAAACTTGGAACCTTAAACCTAACCAGTCCGCTGATTAGGCTGCAACTGCTGCTGTCTGTCATGTATTGGTATTATATTGTTGTTCTTGGTCTTCTCATACCTGATTTATATCTGTTATGGTAATTTACCCACGCACGCATGAACTCTCACAGCTATATATAGGAGCAGGTACTGCCTTTTGGAAGGGTGAAGCAGTCAGACCGAACATTCTTGCTGTAGAACTTCCGTTTGTATATGTTTGTATTATTGTTTCTCTTAATATATTTGTTCAATTCAATTCCTTTCTTGTGTCTTTATTTCTGGCCCTAACAAGAAAACAACAATATCCGAAAAACCGTACGGGATATTTATTCTACACCCCAGTCATCCATCAAGAATACACATGCCCGTATTTTTATCTATAATCGATCAAGTTCAGAAGCCATAAGAACTCTGTTAGTTCGCACGACCATTACGTCATGCCAGGACCTCATAAATGGTGGACTGTTCCGCTTCGGTAGCGTGAAAGTGATGGGAAAAGACTCTACTTGGTTTCAGTGAGAAAATAAAATAAAGATAGAAAGGGAAGATAGTAATGGAGAGAGGGAGAGACAGAAAGAGAGAGAGAGAGAATCAAATTAAGCTGATAAGAACAGATACTGCACTTTGATCTTAGCCAAAAGACAGAGAAGCTCTTGTATCTTCTTGCCGCCCTGAACTAGCAGGATGTGAAACAAAGTAAGTTAATGTTGGGTGGCCCCCAGCGAGTGCATCCGGACCGGGTACCAAAATAGCACCCGTTCGCAACCATCAACTGCGATGCTATCGGTTTACTTCTTTCTATGTGCCGTGTCCTTTCAGGACGTTGTCGTTCATGGCTCTCCACCTCCCCCTCTATCTTGCAGCTCTCAACAAGTTCCTTCCCTCTGCCACTTCTCCCAGACCACTATTCGACCCGTGAGTATCGTTTTCTCCAGGCCGTCCTTCCTCATTATGTGTTCCAGAGACTTTAGCTGCCTCTTCCTGATGTTAAGTATGTTAGACATTTTCATGACGGTCGTCCTCGAGTATAGAATCCAGAGGTTGGCAGTGAATATTTCGGAGACAGTAGGAAAGCGTACTTTAGGTTTGCAGTGGATATCGCAGCAGAGCGTAGTTCTTCCGTCTGTCATGTTCGCCTCACAAGTTGGCTCTGGTCATTCCGGTAGGTAAACAAAGATGGCCGCCTTTATACACGACGGATACAGTGTTGTGCGACTTCTAATTGGTCAACTTTGTATTGGTAGACTATAAAGGGAAATAAGTCATTTTGACTCGCTCACTAGTTATATATAATATACACAAAAAACCGTAACAAAGTATAAGCCTCCTTCTTGTTTGTAACCTCTCTAAGATCTCACCGTTGTTCTCGCGCTCGGTCCATGATATCCTAAGCATCCTTCTGTAGAACTGACAAGGTGCAGTAAAAAATACCAAAGGGAGATAATTCTTACTAATGCTGCTACCCTATTAAAGAACAAACGTAAGCAAACATGATCATTGCAAACTATATATATAATGTGGTTTTATCGTCAAGTTTATATTATATATATATATATATATATATATATATATAGAGAGAGAGAGAGAGAGAGAGAGAGAGAGAGGGTGTCTCAAAAAATGTACTCACACTTTAACTGCTTTTTTTGCTTTTTATGCAGGTGTAATTAATTAATCACAGCATGGCAGGAAAACAACTTAGTTTGGAAGAGAGGAAGTTTGTCCTGAAATGTTACTGGAAGACCGAAAACGCCATTGAAGTGCCAAGACGATTCAGAAGGGAATTCGCAAAACCGCCACCAACGCGCCGGACCATTGCTCGCATCAGAGACAAATCTGAAGCAGATGGAACCGTCCAGAACGTCAACAAGAAACGTTCTGGACGACCACGGACATCCACGATCCCTGGAAAAGAAAAGCAGGTGCAGGAAACATTCCTTCGATCACCACAGAAATCACTTCGACAAACTGGTCGGGAAACCTACATCTCAAAAGATAGTGTCTATCGCATCATGAAGCGTCTGCACTCGAAATGCTATATTCTAACACTGATCCATACTCTCAATGAAGACGATCCTGACCGGAGAGTTCAATTCTGTGAATGGTACCTGGCAAAATGTGCAGAAGATGCAGGGTTTCCACACAAAATTGTGTGGAGTGATGAGGCAACCTTTAAATTAAATGGCTCCATTAATCGCCATAATTGCACGTACTGGGGTCCTATAAATCCTCATGTAACACTTGAACACCATGTAAACTTACCAGGAGTTAAAGTGTGTTGTAGAATATCCACATTGGGCATCATAGGACCTTTTTTTTAACGGAACTGTCATTGGGGAGAGTTACCTCAACTTGCTTCAAGAGTTTGTAGGTCCACAATTTTCAGAGATGTTTGGTGATGACGGCGAGATTTACTTTCAGCAAGATGGAGCACCTCCCCACTACCATCACGATGTACGAGCTCACATCGATACAGCTTTTCCAGACATATGGATTGGACGAAGGGGTACCATTGAATACCCTGCACGTTCCCCAGACCTCATGCGCATGGACTTCTTTTTGTGGGGATATCTCAAAGACAATATTTATCGCACC